TTAAGGAAGTTATGTAAGTTAGTTAATTATAAGAAAAGTGACACATTTTTTCTAAAACACTATAATCATCTTTCTTAATACCCCTTCTTCCTCTTCTATTTGATTATGGTTGAAAGAGTATCCATAGGGGTAATTTAAAAAAAATTGATAAATATGAGAGATGAGTCTTATATTTAAGACCAAAACCAATTCAAGAATTGGATCCTATATTAAGGACAGGAAGAGTACTTATTAATTAACTGAATATAAAAGATATGTTAATCCTTATTCGTGTATAACTTTTAAAATTGTTCATTGAATGAACCGCGGTAGCTATGCATTTTATTTTGTCAAGATCTTATAATCCACCTCATTTTAGAAACTTTTCTTAAGGCTCTTTAAACACGAGATTATAAGTTAAAATCTTCAGTAGAAGATATGAAGGGTACATGAATTATGACAACAACACAAAAACTACATATAGAATTTATTTTGTTTTCCATTAAAACGCATAATACACAAACTCATTCGCTAAATGGCTTGACATAGCTATTTAAGTTGTAAATTGAAAAAAAGAGGGAAGAACAATATACAATATAGACTATATGTAAAATTTTCATAAACACATTACTACTAAAATCTATATCCGCGTGGCTTTTCTATGTAAAAAGTCATTTTTTCCCAACATAAATTTAAGATAACTACTATACTCTGTATATACTACTTTCTACTATCCTACGGAAGAAGTCTTCCAGCCTGAAAAGTGTCGGAACTTTCTTAACCTGTTCTTAACTAGATCGGTTCTAGGTACTCTCTAAAAAGTCTTTTTCAATCGGTCTAAAAAAAATGTTTTTTGTACAAGTGTCACAAACTCTTTTACGGCATGATCAAAGAATGCAATTCGAACTGGTAATTAGGATAATTAATGAAAATGAACGTACTTCATATATGGATGAGTTGGAGGCAAAATGTGAGGAGCGTGGTTGGACAATATAATGAATGATTCATCTATGAGTCAATATTAAATACCAAAGCGACGTGTGAGGTGCGTCAAATTAAAGTGTGGTGACTGCTCACATATATAACATTTGAATGTACCATGCAACTCATGACCTTCAAAACTCACCAAATTTTTAATCTCATCAAGCCAACTTCATACTTTAAAGCCCTCCACATGCTCCTCACACGGCCCCTACACTTCTTTTTTTCAAATTTTTTTTAAATGGTGGGTGTGTATGGGTGGGCCGTTGGGCGGTATAATTATTATTTTGCTTTTTAAATTTATACTATCTCCCGCTCTTAATATAACAGCTAGACAGTTAATTTGGAGATATTAAAAAGATCAGTCAAATTGGTTATTTATCACAAATGTGTTTTGTTCTCCTTAAATTATTCTCTTCAATGACATGTATTGAACGATTAAAATTATTTCTCATGGAAACTCTTGACAATCAATAAGAATATTTAAAAAAAATAAAATAAAATAGATTTAGATTTTATACTTAGAACTAAATTTAACCTTACAATTAATTTTTATATTAAAGAATAGTGTATTTTTCATAGAGCGTCTTTGGTTTCAGCAATTGAAACGAAACATGCACATATATGACAATACAGATGTCGAATCATAAATTTTATGGAAAAAAAAAGTAGAATCATAAATTGATATATGAAAGATGAAAAGCATCCGAAGCTGTACCATGAGCAGATTGTGAACAATGTGTCCCATCCGATCTTAAGCACAAAAATGAGTTGAGTTGGGTAAGTCAACCCATTTAGCTTGCAAGAAGTGATGGATTAGACTGAAAATTTTCAGCCCATTTTAAAGTAAAACGATAGGCTTGCCCCACCAAAAACAGAGGGAGCCAGCTCTTCTGGCAAGTGGGCTATTAAAATAGTAAATTACTCCTTTGGATTTAAAATATAAGCATTAAATATTTAAAGGGATTTACTTTTTATAAGCTTTTGCTTAATCATTTAATGCATTTTTTTACTTTTAAATTATATGCCTCATCTCTTATTTTACATCTCATAGTTACATGTTTGATTTATTGCAACAACAAGATTAGTAGGTGAAGTGTATGAACAAATATTTGGTTCCATGTTTGAAATTTATTAATTTACTCTCATTTTTATATAGCTGGAACAATTATGTAAAATGATTTGCATAGCTTTTATTTGAAAGTTTTGGGGTTGATTTGTCCACGTGGCCTCATGAAAATAAAAATATTTTGAATTTAATTTATTAAAATTTGAAATTTTAAAATTCGCGAAAAAAATAAACAAAGAATGGGTTGACTTGATCAACTCACATGCAAAAATTTGATTTTGTATGAGTTTTTTACTAGCTTGATCTTGGAAGATATTTTGTCGTTGAGTCATGAAATAATGTAAATCCATCGTCTTTCCAACTGCATGCCTCAAATTGTAAATCTTGAAAGTGAGATTATGCATAATGTACATTTGCAACATTTAATCTTAATTCTTCTAATAACATAACATATTTTAACTTAATCCTGATAAATTTTCAAACTGTGATTTACTACCTCCTATCTTTGGTATAAAAACTATATAACTATTTTAGAAATATTAATAAAATTATTAAGTTAGTTGTATATAATAAATAAGTATTGTCTTTTTGAAAATACTTTTCTTAATCATGTGCATTAGAATGAAAGCTCCTTAACATGTATAGTTACCATAGGGACTACTTTGGGGGAAAAAAAATTACCTCCAGTCTTTAATATAAGAGTTATATAACTAATTTGATAATATTAAGAAAATTAGTTAAATTGGTTATTTGTCACAAATATGTGTTGATTTTTTTAAACTATCATCTTCAATTATGTGCATGAGATGATTAGAATTATCCTTTGGTGGAAGCCCTTGCAATCAATAGGAATATTTTTTAGGAAAGATAGGAGACAAAATAGATTGAGGTCTTATATTTAAGACCAAATCCAACTGTTCATTATCTCTTATATTACCTCTGGTTCTTAATATAAGAATTAGTTTGATTTTCAATTTAGTCTTAAATATAAGACCTCAATACACTTTATTTATCATATTTATCTATTTTTTCTAAAGCAGTCCTTGTAGTAATAGCACATGTTAAACATTCAATCAAATTGTAATGCTAACTAATACACATGGTTAGCAAGAGTATTTTAGGAAAGATAACACATATTTATTACAAATAACTATTTAACTAATTTTCTTAATTTATTGAAATAAGTCAATTAGCTTTTATATTAAGAACCGGAAGTAGCATGAAGAATAAAATAGATTAATGTCTTATATTTATGACTAAATTGAATCTCTAACTTGCTTTTATATGCGTCATGACTCATGAGTAAACAAATATTATTATTATTATTTTTTGCCAGAATAACCTAGATTTTTATAGAGATATTTCTATATGCACGTGTATATGTACATGTACGTATTTTTATATGTATATGTATGTATTTATTATGTTTGTTTGACTGTTTGTGTGCTGGTTAGCCTTAAGCTGATAAAATAAAAACAATTGTCTGAAAAAGCGAATCAAACAATCACGTCATTTGGTGTTTAAAGTGGGCACAAGGATTTAACTCAAAACAGTACAAAAGTTTGATAGAACGGTGTTCCTATTCAACTCTCCTTACTGATGATTCTACTTCTATTGGTTTTCTTGGCGCATGCTTGAACGTCGATAGATGCAAAGCCGTCATTTTCCCTGTTCAATTACCCCACTCACACCTTATCCTAACATTTTTTTTTTCAACAGACATACATATCTTCCCAAAGATATTACCAAAATTAAAATAACAAGGCTTAATACACTTAACCGAGTTTTTTAAACATATAGTCAAGGGTTCTTGTGGCCATTGGCTAACACTTTATATGGAGAGGGTCTTGTGGTCATTGGCTAACACTAAAAGACATTCGAAATGTTTATGGTACGAATAGATTAGTCACTGTTATTATTAATGGATATTGCGAGCTCAACCAAAAAAAAAATGTTGTAAATAGTAGAAAAATATGATGATTTGTGCATTGCTTGTTTTTAAGTTGCTTAAATCGTTTATTATCTTTCCTAATTTATATTAACAAAACTCGTCTACAAAGTCGAAGTCAGATTGGCTGCAAAATGGCCCCCCAAATTAATGCTTGAAAGAACTTGTTTAAAACACTAATGCTAACGTATATTTGTCTTTTATTTTTATATAAAGTTTTATTTTGGTCTCTTAATTTTAAAAAACATATTTAGTCTTTTAACCCTAAAATAAATAATATTAAATAATAATTTTTATATTAATCACATTTATTTAAAAAAATAAACTTAATATGCAACTTTTGTTTTTTTTTTTAAAAGAGAATTTTTATCAACACTGAAAATCTCAATATCATTATCTTTTATTAACAGTTATAAGATTAAAAGACTAAAAATAAACTTTTTAAAGTTATGGGATCAAAATAAAACCTTTTATAAAGATAACGAAGCAAATGTTTCCTTCAGCCAAATAATAAAATACAAAAGATAGTATTCACATAAAAAATTACAAAAGGGCAGTAGTGCAATTCTCAAGTTCACAATCATCTCTGTGTTGAGTCTCACATTCCGAAGCTTCACAGGACCAATTTGGCTTAAAACTCTTGAAAACTTAATCGTGGATGCTACATTTATGAACGTTTGAAATAATTAATGTGTCAGTTGTAACACTTAATGCAGCTACCGGAACTACTAATGGTAAGGTGCCACACATATGTATATATCAGCTGGTAACAGCTAACGTTGATCTATTTCATTGCAGTTTTTGGTAGTTTTACAGTCAACAATTCTTATCAATTCCGTTTGCCTCACAAGCCATATATGGTTTATAAGTTCACCAATTTTCCCACCCAACATGCGAGTCTTTTGGAATGAGCTCTCTGATCAGACCTATGCCCATAACAATTTGTCAATCAAATCTTGAACTGTGTCAATAATTTTCTGCTGAGTTGAAGGAAGTATTTTTTAACACAATAGGAGAAACTGAAACTCGACCGAATCAGAATCAGAGACTGATTCTTCCTCAATTAACAATAATTATTAAGCAAGTATCATCATCTATAAAGAAGCCTAGAATACAATTACCAAAGAGCTAAGAAAATAAAACTAGCACTGCTCTTGTGCTTTACATATAAAAGCAAATTTCATTCATTCTCTATATATTATGTTCATGCATTCAGAAAAAGGGCAATAATTAAACCTATGCTTGGAGCCCACATTTAATCTTTCCACCCCTCCTCTCTTTTTTCTCCAGGTATCTCTGAATGCACTATATACGCTTCCTTTTGTGAATATAGAGAACCCTAACTGACTTTCACCAGCACACTCTTGCCATTTTCGCTTTTCTCAAATTCTAACCATACGACCTTTATAGTTTATGTGGGGATGATATATCTTTCACACCCCCACACCCTAAAGCAGTGGGAAGAAAATGTTACCTAAATTACAAAGCTGTGTCAGTGAGATGCAGATTTACAGATACCACAAGGTCTTGGTTGCAACTAGGATTTTATCTCCACCTTGTGATTCAGGTTCTTTATCATGTAAAGTAGGCCTCCACCTCACTGCACGAGCAATGTGTGCTACTTTATTGATTACTTCAGGGGTGTCCCGCAGAACGACTGTTCCTTCTGGTCGTAGCATCCGATCTATTTCAACCATCAGATCCACAAGGTTACATCTGCAGTGAAGTCAAGAAGCAACAAGTGTGAGCTCTGTTATGGGTCAAAGTTTCAATGGCTTTGTGAATACTACAACCTGAGGTGTTCTCAGGCTTTGCTGGCACTAATCTCTCAGGTTGGTAATCTCAAGATGTTGTTTGTTTGATAGAATGAAATGGAATGAAGGGGGAAACATTTAAAGATAAATGATGAATCTCGTGTCCCCAACATGAGAAAAGAAAATAATAAAAGGAAACAAAAACTATAGGGTCATGAATAAAAAGATATGATATGCATTGAAAACCAAAAACAGGTCGTAAAGGTGTATTCCTCCACATCAGCTTGATGCTTTTAGGATTTTAACTCCAAACCCCCGTAAAAACTAAACCTGTGTTAATACAAAGGGATTTTTTGACTCCTTCACCAAGCAGTATTAAATTCTTTGGGTAATTTCTATGGTTGTAACGATAACAATCAAGATAAGACCGATCACGTAGCCTTTGCACATAAGGAGCTTTTGTGAGATGGAATCTGATATGAACTGAATCTCAGCTATAGTTCACATGTAAGGACACAAGAAAAAGGCAAAATGACAGTTAGGTCTAAAGAGATCGATCTAATAGTCCCTTGCAAGATTTTCTGAAAAATGAGCTGCAAATATCAATTCACATAACTGTAAATTTAAGAGTCCAAATTGCAGATGAGGCATTTAAGTTTTCAAACGCAACTCGGTTTGCAACTATTTGAATCGATATTTGCAACTTATTTTTCAAATATTTTTTCAAGAACCCAACTGTCATTAAATTGATCATTTGCAACTTAAATCTGCCCCAAAGAAAAATCAATAATTGACTTTTTGGGATTTAAAATGTCATTTCCCCAAAGCAAAATCAGATTAAATAACTCATCGAAACAGCATGCAAAGATAACTACTAGTTCTGTTATTAAAAAAAAAAAAAGATAACTACTAGTTCTAAGCAAATCAAGCAGTGCCTTAGTTGCTTGATTTAAATATTAGTTCAAGTAAACATGATTTTCCTATCACTCACTAAAAGCTTGCAGTTAAACATCAATTTAATTTAAAAGATTAAGCTGTTAAGTGAAGGCTTATGAATAGGTTATCCTGTAATCAACACATTCTTAATTTGAGCCTTACTCCACTTACAATAAAAGCTCGGGTGCTATGAACCTATGACAAACATCAAACAAAAAGCTTGAGTTGTTAGGGGAAAATCCATGAATAGGCTTTATTTTATTTTAAAAATAATTAATCACTAACAGTTGTATCAACGGGTACCCTTGAACTGTTGTTTGGGGGGGGGGGGGGGAAGGTATCTTTGGACAGTGACTGAGATGCCGCAATAAGATACAGTTTTGGAAGTGATAAGACCAAAATACCTGTTTTTCCCAGAAGCTGGATCTTTTGTTAGTGATTCAATACCGGTCACATGGATCAAGTCATAAGAACGCGGATAGGTTGAGAAAGGTTCACACCTAGGAAAAATAACCAAAAAATTTCAGATCCAAGGAAACCTCCGCTACAAGTTGTAATATATGTTCAAATATACTCCAGATATTATAGCCAAAAGATCAGAAGCAGAGAGTAGCTGGAAGCCTAAAACAGGTTAAGTATACTGCATATGCAAGACGCAGGCACAATTACAGAACATGAAACACTACAAATCTCAAGACGTAGATTGTCAAACTCAACTGAAAAACTTAAATGAGTTGAGAAAGGATGGAAGGTTATAAATCCTGACATTTTGTGAAAATACGTTATGGTTCATAAAATATGGTATCCTGACTATTTTAGTCTTTAGACGAGGCACTAACAACCCTGGCAAAGTGTATTGAGTTTAACGTAGGAAAACTAATCAATTCACAATGCAACTCTTTATTGCTGAACCTGGAGAAGCTAATAAATTAAGAGTAAACTCATAGTTTATGCATCTCTTAAGCCAATCTCCTCCTTCCTTTAAATCTATCCAGTGTAACCCAGATCAGAGCCTTAGAGGAGAAAAATCTCTGCAATAAAACCTCAAGATTTGACATCTTGGTAGAAACTTGATCACCTAGCTCCTCCAAATAACAGTTTTGCAACAAGCTGATCAATACTCAGCAGTCTGCATCAGATTTTAACCTTTTGACAAGTCTGACATCACCCAACTGGCTGGCAACAAGCCATCCATCAATCAGCAGAAATCATCTCTTTTCTCTTCTCTACACAGGCTCTTTTGGACAAAAATGCACATATGTGCCTCTTATTATGCAGGATAAGAAATTCTTAAAAACGTTTATCTAAATATAAAATTACAAAAACAACAAGCATCTGGCATCTGATGTACATTCGAGAAAGGAGCCACTCCTTTTTTGAAGTATTTCTGATCTTATATAACAGCCAGGAGCCATGAACCCACAAGTTCAGCAGGGGGAACCAAGGGAAAAAAAATCCAGTCAAGGAAGTAACTCACCAGCCAAAAAGATTTCTGTGAAATACTGGCTGAATAAAATACTCATTGTCTTGACTAAAAAGGAAATTACCATTGTGATAGACACATGCATCCTTCCGAGTCTCAGATTATGCATATTATCAATAAAAATAATGTGCCTTTACATAGATTGGCAGTAAAACATCACCTTAGGAGAAAATGCACGAAACTTTCAGTAAAAACTCACCAATCATGATAGACTCCAACAAGACCTCTGTCAAAGATCACATCAAGAGTGGATGGCTTGCGAGCTGGAACCACATTCATCACCCACACAGGATCAGATTTTAGCGCTGCAGCAAAACCCCCAAAGAATGCATTCATGTCCATAACATTTCGTATAGCTGGAGTCCCCAATTTTATGCCCAGAGAATTCTTATAGTATGAAACCCTCCTGACCCACCGCCTACTATCAGCCTCAAAAACATCAACAGCATTTTTCAAGAGTGAGGCTCTTGGAGGTGTTGCAGTTAGCCTTTCAGGCCACTTAGGAATCATTCCAACAGCATACTCTCCTTTGACAGAAGTCATCCTACTGACACATTTCTTCAACTTGAAGTACCTGTAAAATTAAACATCTTTATTGGCAATACTACGTAATAACTATAAAAAAAAAACAAATGTGTTAATAATATTCACCCATTTGCTAGCATGATGGCCCAATCAGATCCAAGCATGACTAGCAACCATCAAATTTGATAATGAAAAAAATGGCCAACACAGATAATAAGAGGAAAGATAGCTCTATCAGTCTAATGGATTACCAAGCAAAACTTGGGTCATCTGAATCATCACATAACTCCAGACCAAATTCATTTTGGTTAGGGAGACATGAGTCTCCAGCAGGCTTTTTCCAGATCACAGTGTTGCCATCTACAGCAATCAGTTCATAACACAAAGCTCTTGCCACACCCTGGAGATCAGACCATTCTTTATCTTGTTTAGGCCACTGTACCGGGGGACCAGAGATGACTAAATACCCACCAGGGCGAAGTAACCTATCCACTTCAATGAAATAAGTTGCATCTGCAAGGCAGATTTTCGGCATTAGGGGAGTGATAAGAGTTTAAAAGCTTGCAAAAACCTAAAAGGTGAGCTGCAACACAGAACTTACTGTATGCTGTAAAAGGGATCAAACACCGAGAACAATGCACTAAGTCAAAAGCAAAAGCTGGAAATGGGAGCCTGCGAGTGCCAAGCATGGCAACAAAAGCTGGTATTCCTCTTTCCAGAGCAAATTGTATTTGTGCTTTATGTGAATCTCTTGGAGCAAAGGACACAGTTAAAATATCTTGAGATAGTAGATATCCTCCAAAACTGGCAACCTGAAAATTGAGGAAAAAACAAGCATGTTAAATAGTAAGAAATCACTGCAAGATCTTAAAGGGGAATCGGATACAGCTCCTACCCCACACCCCATATCAAGAGCAGTCCTGAGAACACCACCATTTATTGGAATGTATTGACCAAGTTTTTCAATATACTGCACTGCCCCATCTGGAAACATTGTGCCACCACCAGGGAATATAAAATGCGGACCTTCCCGTTTCATCCATCCTTGGTGACCTTTCCTGTCAGCAATCTTGTTGTGTGGCATGTTACTATGCCATATCTACATAGAATGTAATGAAACTATTAAATAGAAGGATTAGATGACAGAAATATAAGCATCACATTAAATTTCATCATGATCTCTTGTTAAGTCCCGCATCAAGTAGGAAATCTCAATTCATCAGGTCTCAGAATAATCCAGTGGTTAAACAGCTTTTGTCCGGACCTTTAGAAAAATGAAATGAAACAAACCCATACAAATAGTCCCATATAAAACTAAAAATTGAAATGCAAGCTTGTCCTTCCACGTGTTTGAGTAGTTTTTTTTTTTTTTTGGGCATCAACTCTCTAGTTGAAAGAATAAAGACGAGTGGTTCTGCAGCCCTGTCCAAAAACTTTAGCTTTTAGCAGAATCACATATTCTGCCTCACACAAGGAAATATATTTTACCTTTAAGTCAGAAATTTCAAATGTGACGGCCATTCTTCTTCCCTTTTTTTCCAATAAAAAGAAGCTATTCTCTAAAATTGAGGACTAATTCCAATCCCATGAAAAACAAAATTTCATCAGAAGATATAAAAATAGGGGTATTAACTTTTCAGTAACAAATAAGGAAAAATAAAAAATAAAAATCTTCCCTCCATTATCTTCCCCCAGCTTCCAGAGCAGTTCATTTTCGGTGCTCTAGTGGTGGCCAGCAACAATACTTACATTAATATAATACCTATATTGGTCAAAGACTCAAACACATATAATATGGTTTTTAGCACATGATCGAGTTAGATCCTAAATGCTAGGAATGAGTTTATGATTTGTCAAAATATGAACCGCCCTAGTGTTGGTGACCTTGGGAATTCATCAGTAGTGGGTAGTGATCTTTCCTGTCTGCAATCTTATTGTGTGGCATGTTGCTGTGCCATATTAGACAGAACGTACTTAATACTATTAGATGGATAAATGGATCAATTGGTCAGAAACATGCTATTGGAAATTAAAAAAAAAACCACTAAGATGGTGGAAAAGAACATCAAACTTCTACTAATGATGATCAATCAGATAACATACAAAATCACAAATAAAAAGACAAAACTTGTGAACACAATGATGATAAACCCGAAGGTGAACGATGATGAACATGGGTATGAAAAATGAGCTCAACCAGGTAACACTATGGTTACAAGCCTAGTGAATGAATCCCAAGACAAACCCAAGGCATGACTAATGAGGGAGTGAACGAATGAATAAAATCTCTGTACGTAATACAATTTAAGTGACCCTTCAAATAGATTAGCGTCCTTAACTAATACATCAATGTCTAGTAATTTCAACACATACCCAGCACCTAAATTTTATTATGACCTCTGGTTGCAGTTAAGTCCCACACCAACAGGAGAGTTTTAATTTATCGGGCGTCAGAACAATCTAGAAGTTAGCCATTATATGTCCAGAGCTCTAGCAACAAATAAAAAGTCCTGGAAAACTGAAAGTCCCATTCAAAACTACAAACCAAAACACATGCTCCGTTTGACCAAATGTGTTTATTCTGTAGTGAGAAGAACAAAGGCAAGCGATTATGTGTCCTTATCTATTAAGAAAGAAAGAACTCAGCATCAAATAGAATGGTATCGTTCTGTCTCATACAGGGACATTTTTCTTTTTGTATTTACTGGGACAACACGCATTCAGGATCCAAATCAACTCTCCGTGACTCCAAAAACCGGATTAGAAAACAGAATTCTTGAGGGGGCTGAATTTTCAATGGCATGTAAATGACAATATTACCTACGTGATCTGATTTAAAATTACATTTGAGAGACGCTGAATTTTAGGATGAAATTGCTTAATGTTTGTTGGCTTGTACTGAGATAATTCAGCAGCAGAATATATACTTCCCTTCCCAAGAGTGAACTAAACCATACCTTGTGCAAGCTCTCCGGCCACTGCACCGGTATTTTGTAGCCATCAGGCGGAGGAATCAGACAAAGAGGGGTATCCTCCGGCCGCGGGCAATGTCTCTCTCTGTAGTAATTCATTTCTCTACTGAGCTGACTGTTCAACCTCGGATCCTCACATGGCATATGGTCCACGGCTTCGGCAGGACAAGACTCGATAGTTTGCTGCTGCCCAGCCTCGATAACGGCTATGAGGCGGTGGCGCTGCTGTGGATCTGCAGTGGATCGAAGAAGGGTCTGACGGCCGGAAGCAGCAAGCGAATCACCAAGAGGCGTAAAGACGAGGAGGAAGAAGAGGAATACGAGGCCGAAGAAGAACGCAGACACAAGGTCCAAGAGCCGCCATTGGCGTGTGTTACGCTTGGAAGCTGGTAGATTCAAGTGACCCATATCGAAACAAACAGGATCTGATCAAATGGGCATCTGGTTTGTGGATTCCAGAGCACTTGGGATTGAAAATCAGTTGTCTTTACAGAAGACCCAAAACGTCGCAGATATCTCTACGATAGGAGGGAACAGTTAGATCATTTAACTGGGTTATGGTGCCTATGACTGTTTGGAGTGAAATCAATCGAACTATCACAGTAAGCCAGGAAGTAGAAGTTGATTCAATGGAAGATGGAGGATCTGAGGTTTTCAGGGATCCTCAGATTTTGTAGGCATAACCAAGGGACAAGTGTGAACTGAGAAGCGAGTTCACTCATTGGGTAGAGTGCATTATCATTAATCTTTCAGAGAAACGAAGACGGATCCCGCTGCAATCTGTATAAAGTATAATAACTAAAAATAAATAAAAATAAAAATAAAAACTATTGAATTCACTATTTATTGCAAATGAGCTAGGGGCTCATAACCTGACGTTGGACTCCTTGTTAGAAAGGATATCTAATAACTTAATAAGAGTACCTCCGATAAAAAAAAATATGGGCATAAAAAAATTAATTTTAGAATTCACATTCCTTTTAAAATTAATATAATATGGACTTTATGTGCACAATATTAAATAAAAGGCGTTTATAAGATGTCACTAAAATTTGAGAAATATACTTAATTTATTGTTTTAAAAAATATTTTTTTTTTACTAAAAGACAATGTTATTCGAACTAGATAAAAAAGATTACATATAGAAATAAAAACATATAAGTTTAGTAAAAACATTTTTTGTTAAAGATAAAAACATGTAAGTTTAGTAAAAGATAATTAATTAAAATATAAATATTCTAAATAAAATATAAACCAAGATAAATGTCATATTTTTGCCGCTGCCACTAGCATATTAATGTGGTTGTATTAGGTGGCTGACCACAATCACTCACTTGTTTTCTTAGGAAAAAGCTAAATAATTCCAAGGGACAACAGCACATTTGACTTGCACTCAAAAGGGCAAAATAATTAGTAATGATGACCGTCTTTTGTTTTGCTTTCTTTCTCTCATGGAATTTGACCTACACTATCTAAATTTTGGCCTACTTTTTAGATTTCGGTAATTCCAGGGGACCTCCTTTGATAGAAAAGAATCTACATGTTTTTATTTTATAAAGATCGGACCCATTCCTGAAAAAAGTTTAGAAAATAAAACATACTCCTCCGATCCTTAATATAAGACCCATTTAACTAATTTGATTAGATTAAGGAAGTTAGGTAAATTAGTTAATTATAAAAAAAAGTGACACATTTTTCCTAAAACACCATGATCATCTTTCTTAATACCCCCTCTCCCTCTTTTACTTGATTATGGTTGGAGGAGTATCCATAGGGGTAATTTAGAGAAAATTAAAAAATATGAGAAATGGGTCTTATATTTAGGACCAAAACCAATTCAAGAATTGGGTCCTATATTAAGGACCGGAGGAGTAAATTGTTTGTGACTTTAAAATAACATAATTTGCTTTCAATTTTACATTATATATGTTATACATATTATATTGTGTGGATGTTCATAACTCCATAGTCTTCTAGAATTTCATCTCATAATTAATAGCATTATACCTTGTAACTCCCAAATTGAAGGGTTTTTATATTTATTTCCTATGACCTCCAACTGTGCAATTATATTGTTTAATTCCCTTTTTTGTGTACTTATAATTGTTTTGGTTAATCTTCTATGTTGGAGTTCTATAAATAGGAGATTATGTATATATATTTGAAATAATAAAGTGAATGAGAACTCTTCCTTATTTTTTCTTCCAATTTCCTCCTATTTTTTTCGTCTCTCTCATATCAAGCTTTGTACTTTTTTAATTTTCATAACACATTATTAGCATGAGTTTGTTCTAAAAATGTTAGGTATAAGCTTTGTAAATTAATATATTCTTATATCATATAATAATTCCTCGACCAACTTCGCCTCACTCAATTGTCCTTTTTATCCTATTATCATATGCAATTTTAATTTATTTTTATACGTTTGCTATATATATTATGCTATTCTTTTATGTTATTTATTACATTGTTCTGTTTATACATTTTAATTTTGTTATCTCCTCACTGTGATATTGGGTTATTTATTTATTTTTCAATGCTTCTTGTTATGTGGGTTGTTTATGTATATCTATTTGGTTTATTTATGTTGTTTTGCAACTATCATAATATTGCATAGGATTATATAATGTAATTTATATATGGATTTATTTGTTTTTTATATTTAATTATGAATTTAAATTTAATTAATTAATTTATTTATGATATTATTTCAATTTCATTTTATCGAATGGCTAGAAATCATAATACTTTTAATCATGTGATTAGATGATCAAAAGTCACATTACTTTTGCAATGGTTATTTTGTAAAGGAATACTATGGATGCCTTTAAATGACACGACAAGAAAAATCTATGGCACTTTGATAATCTAATATTAACAAATATCAAAGTCCTAAAGGCTATATGGTGATAGATATCAAAGTTTTGAAAACTAATGATTCAAATATCAAATGGCATAAAAGAACTTTATTTGAAAGATTTTCGCTATAATCTTGAAGACTAATGTTTGGAGAAATTGATTATGTGCAATTAAAACAAAGAATATGTTTATAAAAGTGATAATGAATATGACCAAATTATTAATGATTAAAGGGTAATAATCTTTAATCTTAGCTATTGAACTATAATTGAGAAAATAGTAATACTTCTATAGTCAAAAACAATTATGAGCGCATGTTGAATATTAAAATTAGTTATGACTAAAAGTCATATGAACGAATACATGCACTAATATATTGAAAGAAAATGTTAAAATTAGTTATGAAACCAAAAAAAAAAAAAAAGGACCATAAGATATTATGAAAAGCATCAAATATAGTTATGATATCTAAGGCAATGACTTATGACAAAAGATGCCCAAAATAATTAAATTTGAAAGATATAACCATAAGCTTAGAAGGCTATGCGATATTTAATTTTTGAAAGTCTTAAAATTTTTGGTGATTGGTTGGTGGAAAATATCCAAGAATGATATGAAACTAAATATACTAAAAAAGTAGTTATTAGTCATTTTAAAATATTAATTTATTGTGCCAATTTATTTACATATTTAAGAATATAAATATAATTTATTTTCATATCAATAGAATACTCTAAAAGATGGTCATATTATGATATTGATATTTATTGTGCCATTTGTATGCAAATTAAAGAGATGATATATTATTTATATTTTATTCATTTTTATCCTATTCGTATGATTTTATTAAATATTAATTTGAATGATTTATTGTGATTAATGAATAATAAATTTTATTATTAGTATTTGAAGTTATTTTGAGTTTAATTAATAAGAAATTAGTTGAGAAAGAAAAATTAAGCATTCATATAATATGTAAGTATTTTTTTTCCAATGACACATTTTGAGTCTAGCAAATTAAATAAATGGTATATGGTATATTGATTAACGTTGAGAAGTTTTAAATAATACATTTAATTTTACACTTTATTCTTAAAAAATTTATTTTAAAGGATGCTCTACGTTTTGTGTTCCTTTTAAAAGAAATTAAAAATGTACAAATGATAATTATGATCTAAAGAAACTTTTATGAATATTGAATTAATTCAAATATCATTTAATTCCTTAAGTTTTGAACATTTTAAAATAACGTAAAAAATTGGATATTTATATTTTCCTCTTCTAATGTTAAGAGGTATGTTAATCCTTAATTTTTAAAAGGACGAATTATTGATCTTTTATATTTAAATTAAATTAGTTTTGTTGTAAAATTTGTGAGAAAAATTAAAATCATATATTTATGTTACATGTGAATTGATAAAATGAAAAGTTGTTTAATTTTATGAGAAAATGTATTATAAATAGCTGAAATTAATTTTGATTGGTTGGAAAAAATCATTTTGCCTATGCAAACTCTATATATATTACAGGTTAAATTTATGATACTCATAACTATTTATTATTATGTATTATAGTTTTATTAAGATGAGTTTGTCTCCTCATTCCTCTCAAATTACATAGAACCATGTGTAAAAATATTAATATAGTTTTTGAAGAATTAAGATTTTTTTTTTTATGGGTGGACAAAGAATTAATGGTGAAAAATACGATCCATTGATCTACAGTGCAACTTCGATTCTCTAAAGAGTCTAAAAAGTAATAACCTAATTGAATTAAAATTCATAATTACATGTGAAATAGGAAGTACTTAGGCTTCTAAGTGAGAGAGGTTATTAGCTTATTATATGCTGGTTACTGTTTTTGAAATACATGAATGAGAAAAACATGTTTGTATGACTGACACATAAGGGGGAGATTATTGAAATATAAATGTGAGTTGATGTTAAATAGAGTTTTGCTAAAATAAAAAACTTGTGACAGTAAATTAGAAGTTTACTCATCCAATTATATTTATAGTTGGTGTGACTTGTTTGATTATCATAAATCATATATATATATGATGCAGCAAATTATTGATGATGATATATTGTCATCTCTTGAAAAACCAGAAGATTCTTCATGAATAGCTAAATATTATATGATGTAAGGATTCATAAGTTGCTTATTCACAAAGAAAATTTGATTATATTGATATCACTAGTTATGATGTGAAATAGATCTGTACATTTCTGGAAATATATCAAATTTAGATATATTAACCCATAAAAATAGCATTTAAACCTTATAAGTATTCAATAAATTTGATAGATGTATTTATAAGATGGTTAAATGTTATTATTAGGTAGCAACATGAAATTTGCAAGACTAATTGAGTTAATCATTATATATGTTGAGTGCACATTTCCAGAAAAGTACGATCTAGAAAATTTCTATTGCAAACACTGGTTAGTTTACATCTCAGCTTTTCAATGATTCTCATGTATTTATTAAAAAATTGTTAACCCTCCTTAATAGAATAATCTAGCAAAATAATTTATTAAAGCCTCTAGGAGTAGCTAGATCAATACTTTTGAGAACAAGATCTTCATTTCAGTGTTGGCATATTTAGTTTGATATTTTGCAGTATTTATACATTTCAAGCCAGCAAAATTTTTCCAATAAAATTGGCTTTTGGTTAGGAGTCAAATATTTCCATCTTAGAAGTTTAAATGTGCAGTATTTATTACTATCAGCCTACCACAATGCACATAGATAGATATTTAAAAAAAAGTTAGGATAGATGTTAGGTAATAATCTCCTTATTATCTTTAAATGAAATGAAAGGATGCTTCTAAAAAAATTAAATGGATTTAAGAGACTTATACCACATCATGAATTGATTGTTATTCGATAAAATTTTTCTAACAT